CCATACCTGGAATACTGCATCCAGTTTTGGTCACCACCTTACAAAAAAGAGATGGAGACTTTGGAAAAAGTGCAGAGAAGAGCACTTTCAAATCATTGAAGCTTTAAATGAACCACATGGTGGTTAAACAAATTCAGCTTCTCCCATTGCTTGTCGAGAGATGCCTGGGATGGTCGCGAATATTGATCACATGATGATGGGATGCTGCAACCCTCCTAAATATATGCAGGTTGCCAAGCAACCAAATTTTGATAACGTGACCTTTGGGATGCTGCAATGGCCATAAATTGGGGGCGGGCGGTTATAAGTCATTTTTTTCATACTGTTGTAACTTTAAATCGTTGCTAAACAGAAGGAGGACTATCCTTCTGGAGGACTATTAGTCGAGGACTATTTGTACAGGTGCTATAACCTTCTGTTGAGTGACCGCTCACAACCAAAATCTAGTGACCGTTCATGACCAAAAGCGAGTCCAAAATTTCTGTTGCTAAGTGATAAATTTATTTTGCCCCATTTTACAAGTTTCCTTGTCGCATTTGTTCACTGAGTCACTGCAGCTGTTCAATTAGTAACACGGTTGTTAAGTGAATCTGGCTTCCGCATTGACCTTGTTATCAGAAGGTTACAAAAGGAGACCACATGATTCCAGGACATTGCAATCGACACAAATATGAGTCAGTTGCCAAGCGTCCCAATTTTGATCGCATGACCAGTGGGATGCTTCAATGGTCGTAAGCGCGAAAAATGGCCATAAGATGCTTTTTGCAGTACCATTGTAACTTCGAAGGGGCACTAAATGAACTGTTGTAAGTTGATGACTACCTGTCCTTAGCTATGCCCTACCCAACATAGCATCTTACTTTATCTTCCTAGAGGGAAAACCGCTCTGTTCCTCCAAGCCAAGCATTATTATTTTATTGTAAAGAAGAGGCTCACCTTCTGAGAGGGATCCCTTTTTTCACACTTACAAGTAACTGTGAGAGGGATCTTGGAGTCTTTGTGGACAACCAATTAAATATGAGCCAACAGTGTGTGGCAGCAGCCAAAAAAGCCAATGCAATCCTAAATTGCATTAACAGAGATCAAGATCAAGGGAGGTACTAATACCACTCTATAAAGCCTTAGTAAGACCACACCTAGGATACTGCATCCAGTTTTGGTCACCACACTTTAAAAAACGATGTTGAGACTCTAGAAAGAGTGCAGAGAAGAGCAACCAGGTTGATGATGGGACTGGAGACTAAAACATACGATGAACGGTTGCAGGAACTGGACATGGCTTGTCTAGTGAAGGACCAGAGGAGACATGAAAGCAGTCTTCCAATATTTGAGGGGCTGCCACATAGAGGAGGGGGTCAAGCTATTTTCCAAAGCACCCGAAGGCCAGACAAGGAGTAATGGATGGAAACTGATCAAGGAGAGATTCAACCTGGAAATAAGGAGAAATGTTCTGACAGTGAGAACAATCAACCCATGGAACAGAAGTTGCCTTCAGAAGTTGTGGTAGCTTCATCCCTGGAAGCCTTCAAGAAGAGACTGGACTGCCATCAGTCAGAAATGGTGTAGGGTGTCCAGCTCCTGCTTGGGCGGGGGGTTGGACTAGATGACCTACAAGGTCCCTTCCAACTCTGTTAATCTGTTTATGAAGGGAATCACACAAAGCAAGAGCCGTCAGCTGGGCTTTCAACACGTTGCTTTCCCAGCAGCTCCTTCTTTGATGTGGTTTGGGGAGAGGATGAGCAAATGAGGAGGTTTGTTGACTTGTTGAAATTATAAGCTGGGTATTTTTAGACGGCTTGCTGAAGTTGGCCGCTTCTTGTTGGCTTGGCAAAACAGATTCAACATCACAAAAATATACTGTTGATTACAGCATGGATTAGGACAGCGATAGAGACGGCCAGTGAAACAAGGAAGCTTTTCATCCTCTTTCTCCCTCCATTTTTAGCCGGAAAATAAAGTCTTCCGTCTCCTTTTAACTGCCTGGTTGATGCTTTAAAACAGGGGTTTTAAGTGACCAAACTTGGCCACTTGAAGCCTGGCGGACTTCAACTCCCAGAATTCCCCAGCCAGCAAGTGGCCAAGGTTGGAGACTGGCTGAGGAATTCTGGGAGTTGAAGTCCGCCAGGCTTAAAGTGGCCAAGGTTGGAGACCCCTGCTTTAAAAGCAAATGACAGGTGAACATTACTACCTGCGACAGAGCCGATGACATTAAATTCCACCTGGTAGCAAAACTTGCTGAATTGTTTTTCAGGCTGGGCTGGTGAACGCAGGAGTGAAGAGGCTGAAAGGAGATGCGGGAGGGTCCACAGGTCAAAAAAGTCAAGATGGCAGCCACGGCTGTGCAATCAAAGCCCCACTCCTTTTGATATTCAGCCCCCCTCACCCCTTTTTTTTCCCCAGTAAGGCCAACAAATTGGAAATATAATAAATTTTGTAAATAAAAATGGTGACAGTTCACAAAGACTAGTAGGTACAAATAGAAATACATACTATTTCTATAGCAAGGAAGATAAAGCAGGAATAGTTAAATTGAATACTTTATTCAAAGAGGAAAATATGTTCTTATTTTGGATATCACTTCCGGAATTTGTGCTTGTGAAGGAAAAAAAAATGAAACTTGATTTTGTTGACTAGAAAGATTTGGTGTTATAGAAATGGCTAGTTATATATTAATATGTGAAAGCAAAAAGTTGAGGTTGGAGTGTGTTTTACCTGGTACTGTGCTAGGAAGAATTGGAAGTCAATGCCCTCTTTTCTTTCTTTTTCTCTTCCCCCTTGTATTTCGCACCCCCTTTTCCCGTTCTCTTTCCTTCCTTTAATTTCTTATTTTCTTATTTTCTTTTCTATTTTGTGTGCATTTTATACAATAAAAAATAAAAAGGAAAGGAAAAAAAGGGGGTGGGGCTTTCATCATATAGCTGCGGCCGCCATTTTGATTTTTCTTTTTTCTTTTTTTTTTTGAACACACACAGAGGCCACGGATGCCCCTGTGGAAGAACTGGGTAGAACTGGCCCTTGATTTAAAGTCACCCAGATTGTGTTTGTAAACGCCTCCCTTCTGTTGTGTAGCAACCCAACACTTTGCTCTGGGTACAGGCAGCATCCTTGACCTAGGGTGGGGACCGCCCTAGGCCAAGGATGCTGGGAACCGAATTTCCATCACTAAGCAAGGCGGTTAAGCCAGTTGTGTCTAGTTCTTTTCTTTTTAAAAACAACAACAACATTTGATTAGATTACAGAATAAAATACAATCAGACAAAAGCAAATAGGAGGACACAGTAGGGAGGGGAAAGGGAAAGAAAAGTGAGGAGGGGAGGCAGAAAAGAAAGAAAAAGTGTTGACTTTCACCCAATTCCCTCTGTTGCAGTAGAACAAAGCATTAACTTTGAACCCTCCACTTTTTACTTTTCTGTAATAATATAAACTAGCCATTTCCGTAAGAGTTGTGTCTGATTCCATGACCTTTTTTTGCCACAGCAGTTAAGAGAGTCACTGAAGTTGTTAAGTGAATCGTGTAGTCATTAAGCGAATCTGGTTTCCCCCATTGACTTTACTTGTCGGAAGCCGGCAGAGAATTTTGGGAATGGTGATCGCAGGACCTCCGAGAAGATGCTGCAACCATCATACATACATGCTGGTGGCTAAGTGTTTGAATTCTGATCACGTGTCTGTGGAGATGCTGCAATGGCCATACGTATGAGGAGTGGCCTTAAATCAGGTTTTTTCAGTGCCTTTATAACTTCAAACAGTCACAAACCAAATGGTTGTAAATCAAGGATTACTGTTGTTCTATAGAAAGTTAAGAGTCATCCACACATCACACCAAGCCATAATGTATTTGGTCTGGCTTAGCATGTGTGAACAGCTCAGTGATTTTATGATGGTCCCAGGGTTGTCCTGGCCCTGTGAAGCAGATTACAGATTAACAGAGTTGGAAGGGACCTTGTAGGTCATCTAGTCCAACCCTCCCATCCAAGCAGGAGACCCTACACCATTTCTGACAGATGGCAGTCCAGTCTCTTCTTGAAAGCCTCCAGTGATGAAGCTCCCACAACTTCTGAAGCTGTTCCATGGGTTGATTGCTCTCACTCTTAGAAAATTCCTCCTTATTTCCAGGTTGAATTTCTCCTTGATCAGTTTCCAACCATTATTCCTTGTCTGGCCTTCAAGTGCCTTGGAAAATAGACTAAAACATATGAAGAACAGTTACAGGGACTGAGCATGGTTAATCTAGTGAAGGACCAGGGGAGACATGAAAGCAGTCTTCCAATATTTGATGGACTGCCACATAGAGGAGGGGGTCAAGCTATTTTCCAAGGCCAGACAAGGAAAGATTCAACCTGGAAATAAGGAGGAATTTTCTGACAGTGAGAACAATCAACCCATGGAACAGAAGTTGCCTTGTGGGAGCTTCATCACTGGGAGCTTTCAAGAAGAGACTGGACTGCCATCTGTCAGAAATGGTATAGGGCGGGGGGTTGGACTAGCTAACCTACAAGGTCCCTTCCAACTTTGTTAATCTAATTAATCTAATCTCTCTGTGGCAGCTCCTCAAATATTGGAAGATTGCTATTATGTCTCCCCTGGTCCTTCTCTTCACTAGACTAGCCATATTCAATTCCTGCAACCATCCATTGTATGTTTTAGCTTCCAATCCCCTAATCATCTTTATTGCTCTTCTCTGAACTCTTTCTAGAGCCTCAACATCTTTTTTATAGTGTGGTGACCAAAACTGGAAATACTATTCTAGCTGTGGTCTTACCAAGGCTTTATAGAGCGGTATTAGTACCTCAGAAGACGCTTTCCTCCAACTACAGACCATCATCCCCAGTACGGATGTGCCTACCAGGGTCCCCGAGAAGAACGGGGTGTTTTGGGAATGGCAAGCTTTGTTTACAGTTTGTGGCTTCTATCTGGATTGCTGTTGTCTCCTGCCCAAACCGGTCCATGCATGGATGGAGGAAGAACAACAGAAAAAAGGAAGGAAAACCAACCAGAGATTGGCCAAGAAGCTGGCTATGCAAACTTTATTCCTCTCAAATGGACTCGTTTGCATGTAACTCTGGCCCCAACATTTTCTGCCAGGACTTCTTGGCGCGGCTCCAACTGGCTCTCGGCCAGGAAGGAGACAGGATTAAGAAGTTCTTAAGCACAACTGTATTGAAGCCTGGATCCACCCCCCCTTGTTTTGATACCATTTAAAGGGACCCTCGAGCTAGTAAATTCTGCTTGGCTTTGTTCTCCGTCACCTCTTCATCCTCTTTCGATTAGGACTGTTATTTCTACTTTCCTTGCGAGACACCAACTTTCCAGCCCCTCTGAACAGTCAGGGGCCAATCTGAGAGCGGTCAGTCTTAAACAAACAAGCAAAACCTTCAAAGGAAATCTTCAACTGGAAATTGCTGACTTGCAGCTTTTGGAGAAAGTGAGGGTTTGCTCTTTTTTTTTCTTCTTTTCTTCAGATGGTCTGAATTAAGATAATGACTTTGCATCTCACTATTGGTGGAACTTGGTTTCAACCACAGGATGTTTGCAGAGTCTTCGGTGGAATGGGTCCGTGAAGGATATTTGCACACACTTATTCCAGGCTTCTCCTGGTAGAGGCAGAATTGAAAAGACAACTGAATGAAGCAACAGGCAGTAATAAACAAAATGTTAATGACCACATTAATGTTAATGGTCAACATATTATAGAAAAGATATTGAGACTCTAGAAAGAGTGCAGAGAAGAGCAACAAAGATGATTAGGAGTAGGGGTGTGTTCTACTTACCTTTACTACTGGTTTGCAACAGGGCTGTGCGCGCGCACTCATTTTGTTCTCGTGCATGCACTCTTCTGCACATGCCCAGAAGTGTTTTGATGACATTGGGGTTGGTGGGTGGAGCCTCCCACCAGTTTTACTACCGGTTCTATAGTACCGGTGCGAACCGGGGGCAACCCACCACTGATTAGGGGACTGGAGGCTAAAACATATGAAGAACAGTTGCAGGAACTGGGTATGGCTAGTCTAGAGAAAAGAAGGACCAGGGGTGCTGTGATAGCAGTATTCCAGAATTTGAGGGGCTGCTACAAAGAAGAGTCCCTTGGGAGTTGGGCGGCATAGAAATGCGACAAAATAAAATAAAAATAATAAATAAAGAATGGATCAACCTATTTTCCAAAGCACCAAAAGGCAAGACAAGAATAACGGATGGAAACTGATCAAGGAAAGAAACAGCCTAGAACTAAGGAGAAATTTCCTGACAGTGAGGGCAATTTATCAGTGGAATGGCTTGCCTTCAGAAGCTGTGGCTGCTCCATCACTGGAGACTTTTTAAGAAGAAACTGGACCGCCACTTGTCTGGAATGGTATAGGGTCTCCTCCTTGTGCAAGACCTTCCAACTCTATTATTCTGTATTCTGTAAATACGTTTAATTCAATAAGAGGCCAGTGGTGGGTTCCTCCCGGATCCGCCCGGTTCCGCCGAGCCGGTAGCGGTGACGATATGACGTCACCAAGCCAGTTCTGCCCACCCCCGCCCCCCGCCCACGTTATTCTTACCTTTTATTTGGCCCCACCCGCAATCTATTTCTGCCTCCTGAGTCCCAGCTGATGGGCTATAAGGAAAAAAACTGTTTAAACTCTTGCCGAGGGGCTTCAAAGGACCGCCCTACAGCTGATAAGTGGTAAAAGGCAGTTTGGTGGTAGACCGGTGCCTGCAAAAATAAATGAGTAGACCGGTACAGCTCTGCAAGCAGTTAAAAGCCTGGTAGACCAGTACCTCTGCTAAATCCTAAAGAATTGTCACATGACCATCAAGCCACACCCACAAAATAAGCCACACCCACAGAACCAGTAGTAAAAAAATTTAGAACCCACCCCTGTAAGAGGCAGTGAGAAAAGTAAGTTCCTACACATAGGCAAGAAAAACCAAATGCAGAGATTTAGACTAGGTGCCACCTAGCTCAAAAGTAGTAACTATGAGGGGGATCTTGGAGTCCTAGTGCACAATTCCTTAAATATGAGCCAGCAGTGTGCTGCAGCTGCCAAAAAAGCCAATGCAATCCTAGGCAGCATCGACAGAGGGATAGCATCAAGATCAAGAGAATAATACCGCTCTAAACTGCACTAGTGAGGACCCATTTGGAATACCGCGTCCAGTTCTGCACCACAACACAAAAAAAGATGTTGAGACCAGTGGAACAGAAGTTACCTTCAGAAGTTATGGGTGCTCCATCAGCTGAAGCTTTTAAGAAGAGATTGGACAATGATTTGTCCGGAAGGGTCTTCTGCGTGAGCAGGGGTTGGATTAGAAGACCTCCAACAGACCTTCCTTCCAGCTCTGTTATTCTGTTATAGACCCTAGAAAGACTTCAGTGAATAGCAACAAAGATGATAAGAGGACCGGAGGCTAACTCATACAATGAATGGCTAAGGCAGGGGTCTGCAACCTTAAATACTCAGGGCCATTTGGACCCGTTTCCCACAGAAAAGAAAACACCGGGAGCCACAAAACCTGGGTGGGCGTGGCCAACTTGATGTCACTCACTTCCCCCAGTCACATGACACACACCCAGCCACGCCTAGCCAGTCATTAGGGCAGAGAACCAGTTGTTAAAAAACACCGGGAACCACAAATCTCTCCCATCCCTCTCTCCCCCCTTTCTCTCTCTCTCTCTCTGTATCTCTCTCTGTCTCTCTCTCTCCCCCTCTCTCTGTATCCCTCTGTCTCTGCCCTGGCTGCTTCTCCATCCCCTTACCTTCTCAGGCCAAGTGAGGAGTGACTGGGAGGGGAGGGCAAGGGGCGGGGCCAGCCAGTGGTGGGATCACCTGACAGGGAGCCACAGCAGAGGGCCCAAAGCGCCGCATGCAGCTCCGGAGCTGCAGGTTGCTGACCCCTGGGCTAAGGAAACTAGGTATTTCTAGCCTAATGAGCCACGGTGGCGCAGTGGTTAGAGTGCAGTACTGCAGGCTACTTCTGCTGACTACTGGCTGCCTGCAATTTGGCAGTTCAAATCTCACCAGGCTCAAGGTTGACTCAGCCTTCCATCCTTCCGAGATGAGTAAAATGAGGACCCGAATTGCTGGGGGCAATGTGCTGCCTCTGTAAACTGCTTAGAGAGGGCTGTAAAGCACTGTGGAGCAGTGTATTTATTTTATTTATTGGTTCGATTTATATGCCGCCCTTTTCCGGAGACTCAGGGCGGCTTACAATTCATTAAGCAATAGCCTTCATACCTGCTTAGTAGGGCTTTTGGCCCCCCTAAGCGGTGTTCTTTTTTATACAAAGTCAGCTTATTGCCCCCACAATCCGGGTCCTCATTTTACCTACCTCAGAAGGATGGAAGGCTGAGTCAACCTTGAGCCTGGTGAGAATTGAACTCGCAGTAATTGCAGGCAGCTCGTGCTACTTAACAGTGCTTTAGTCTGCTGCGCCACCAAGGCTCTATTAAGTCTAAGTGTATAAGTCTAAGTGCTATTGCTAATGAAGAGAAGGATTGGGGGGGGGCATGATAGCAATCTTTCAATACTTGAAGGGCTGTCACAGAGAAGAGGGATACCTGTTCTCCAAACACCTGAGGACAGGACAAGAAGTAACAGATGGAAAATTGTTAAATAGATCCAACCTTGAAATAAGGAGGAACTTCCTGACAATGAGAACAATCAACCAGTGGAGCCGGTTTCAAGAAGAGACTGGACAACCATTTATCTGGGATGGTATAAGGGCTCCTGTCTTGAGCAGGGGGTTGGACTAGAAGATCTCCAAGGTCCCATCCAGCCCTTTGATTCTATGTTCTATGATTCAAATGAAATTTAATTTTTAACCCGGCCCGGTGTACCTTTGGGACTCTCCAGTCTATCCCTGAAAGGCCAAAAGTGACTTAGGGCAAAAAAAATGCTTTCTACCCCTGCTTCACTGTAAATATTTATCAAAAACAGATAGTCCTCGAGTTACGACCACAATTGAGCCCAAAATCTCTGCTGTTTAGTGAGACATTTTCTAAGTGGGTTTTGTCCCATTTTATGACCTTTCTTGCCACAGTTTGTTAAGTGAATGATTGCAGTTTGTTAAGTTAGTAACACGGCCGTTAAGTGAATCTGGCTTCTCCATTGACTTTGCTAGTCAGGAGGTCGCAAAAGGAGATCACATGAGGACCCAGATTGTTGGCGGCCAGAGGCTGACTCTGTAAACCGCTTAGAGAGGGCTGTAAAAGCACTGTGAAGCGGTATATAAGTCTAAGTGCTATTGAGAAAGGAGGGAGGGAGGGAGGGAGGAAGGAAGGAGCTATGATGGCTCAGTGGTGAGAATGCAGTATTATAGGTTAATTCTGCTGACTGCCTATTGCCAGCAGTTCGGCAGTTCGATACTGACTGGCTGAAGGTTGACTCAGCCTTCCATCCTTCCGAGGTGGGTCAAATGAGGACCCAGGTTATTGGGGGCAAGAGGCTGACTCTGTAAACCACTTAAAGAGGGCTGTAAAGCACTATGAAGCGGTATATAAGTCTAAGTGCTATTGCCATTTTCCTTTATTTATTTATTTATTCATTCATTCATTCATTCATTCATTTATTGGTTCGATTTATATGCCGCCCTTTTCCGGAGACTCAGGGCGGCTTACAATGCGTTAAGCAATAGCCTTCATACTTTTGTATATACCTGCTTAGTAGGGCTTTCGGCTCCCCCTAAGCGGTGTTCTTTTTTATACAAAGTCATCTTATTGCCCCCACAAACCGGGTCCTCATTTTACCTACCTCGAAAGGATGGAAGGCTGAGTCAACCTTGAGCCTGGTGAGATTCGAACTTGCAGTAATTGCAGGCAGCTGGCAGCTAAGTGCTACTTAACAGCACTTTAGTCCGCTGCACCACCAAGGCTCATTCCTTCCTTCCTTCTCTCTGCTTTCCTTCCTTCCTTCTTCCACAACCCCCAATCAGGCGTCCTCCTGTGACCCCCTCTTCTCTGGCCAGAGCAAAGTGCCCTCCGATGCTTCAGTTGCAGCCCCTCAATCAATGCATGTGCTTCCATCAACCCACTCAGCCCTCTTCCTCCGCCTGGCCTGGCCTCCCTTCGCCGGATCCCAGCTCCGTCCTGGGGTCTGCGGCCGGTGGGGACCTCAGCCAAGGAGTTCCTTTGCTGGCCTCCATTAGAGCGGCCGCTTGTTTGTGTATTCAGCACAGTTGCCTTTATCGACGGCCCCGTCCTGACGCCGGGTTTTTCCTGTTTCAGATTCTGACTTCTGATTTTCCTTCTTCTTGTTTGTTTTTCCCCCTCTCTTTTCTTCCCTGTTGTTTCCAAATTTCCCCAGATGAGTTTGGACTTTGTGTGTGTGTGTGTGTGTGTGTGTGTGTGTAGCATCCTCTTTCCATTGTGACACTTAGGATGGTTCAGCTTCCTGCCCTTGTGGGATCCTTTGCAAATCCTGCTCCTGAGGACTGTTCTGCAAAGTTAGTTTGGGGGAAAAAAGTTTGCCTTATAGCAGGGGTTCCCCAAACTTGGTGACTTTAAGACTTGTGGACTTGTCCACAAGTCTTAAAGTCGCCAAGTTTGGGGACCCCTGCCTTATAGAATGGGACAATACTCTGCACAGGTCTTTGGCAGCATTACTAACCTACC